ATATATATTTCGGCGAAGTGTATGTTTTTAAATATGCTATATGCAAATATTTCCTATATAAGTTATTGTCTGCCAATCAGTATTACCTAATTAATCAAAGTGTAAAAGAAATGCGTACACGTGAAGCGTATAAATATGTATAAATGTATTACATAAATTATGACGCTTTTATAAAGCGAATGTTGATCGGTCATTTATTTCGCACATACACATACAGGGGTTAACTAAGGCCAATTCGTAATTGTACCGATAATGATTGTGGGTTGTTACATTCTGAAAGACAACAATTTGAAGGCTTTTCAATAATGAAGAAGATAATTGAGTCTGTTTTCAAATCGACGATTTGCATGGTCGTGATTCGCATATCTGTGAAGGTACATTCATCTTTAACAGATTGTTGTGACGTTAGAATAACGACTGCGTACTGTTTGCCTTTACTGATTAAGAATGTACATAAATAAACATATTGTGAATAAATGCTTCGATGACTTCATCGAATAATTTTATTGTTTAAGGAATTAGTATAAGCATAAGCCGAAGAAGAACTACAGCTATAAGGAAATTTTAACAGCTGCAAAGTTAGAACTAAAAAGAATAAGAAAAACATTGAGCATTTAATAAAATATGAATATTCTTTAAGTTCTTTTAATCAGGACTAAAACAAGAATTTTGATTTCGCATGGGATTAAAAAGAGCGACCTCGGTTTACAGATGACTGCACTCGTTTAGCACACAAACGAGGCGAACTATGATAACTTTAATTGTTACACGTTCCCACAATTCTATTAGGATCGACGTAACCAGCAACTGTACGTAATAGCTAGCTAGTTTTGCGCATAGTTTTCTTGCTGGTTTTTGACTGAACAAAATCTCGTAAACCTTGAATACATAGTGAGTATCGTCATGGATGAACAGATCAGACTACGGGTAATTTGTTTGAATTACCGTAACAGGCAATAGCCAAACGGTAAAAAACAGCCAATCAAGCATCTGCTGAAGTAGGAAAAGTTAACAGAACGCGCTCTTCTTGCGGTAAAATACAAAAACCATGCGTTTTTAACGTAGATACAAAAATGTTCATTTCTCTGTTAGCTTAAAATTCCTGTATTTAAACGCATAGATAAATCATTGGATTCCGAAGCGACATAAATAGATTGCGACATGTCCACGTAGACATGCATTCCCTTGAACGAGAAACTGATACGATTTACAAAAAAATGTCCCTGCGTATATTGGAATGTTTATTGGCTAATTAATAAATTTAAATAACGAAAGGAGTGGCTATGAGCAAACTGAGTAATGGCAGGGCAAAATTAAGTATTAAATTCTCTAATTGCAACGGAACGCGTGTTTCAAATGTTTGCTGTAAGTAAGTTGAAATAACATTGTTTAACTTATTTGAATATTAAGTCGTTTGAAAATGTGTTAAGTTTCTTTAGTTGTTAGTAGTTAGAAGTTAGTTGACTCATGGCCCGGAGTTCAGTGAGTTATACGTACAGTTTAAAATTCAGAGTAGATAAGAATTACACGCTTGTGTACTATCACATAATAGGGAAACGGTAATTTTAAACCACATCACAATACGTAAGAGTTATGCAATGTGGCATACAGTGGCTGACGAAAGTATTCCCGTTTTAAAACGGTAAAACTTTTTAAATACTGGAACGAATAAAAAAATTTTATTGGGGCATTTAAAAGGCCTAGTTTATTGTTTAATGAGTGGCGAAAAATTAAAGAAAATTGGTATTCATAGGAATTGCGACAAAAGGTGTAACCGTCGCGGTTTTTACTGGAGCTTCCAATATAAAATTTGAAACAAGGAAATTATATATGCATACGAAATTTCATATTGAAAACGCAAAAAAATCAGCTTTATCGACCGTGACAGGACTCGAACCTGCAATCTTCGGATCCGAAGTCCGACGCCTTATCCGTTAGGCCACACGGTCACTGAGGGGTAGTTTTCTGAAAATGGTATTTCCTCATGATAGAAAATCACACCCCCAGCATTTTTCAATATGAAATAAATTCATTGCGTAAACGATCTAACGCTTAATTTACGACGTTAACTCGCGATAATAAGTTAACTATAATCTGTAATAGAAATAGGGGTAGTTTTCATAATGTGTAAGTATATTTGGATGAACTTCGTTGTGACCACTTTCGTCTTTAACTGAATGATAGTGGTCGATTGAAAAAGGTGAAATACATAGTTCAGATTGTCCGAATCCAATGGTTTAAAGGGCTAGGGTAGTCACGTGACTTTTCTAACACGCTTCGGTAAAATTTTGAAGCTTTTTGCTCCGTTTTATCGATAATCAGGCAAAAATAGTGCAAAATATGGGTTTACGGGAATACACTTTTCGTCCTTATATTCTGATTAAAGAATAATTAGATCAGTTTGACTGAATATTTATTTAAATAATTAATCAATCGAAGATCCCGCGAAATGCGGAGATACGTAGAGAAGGTATTCTATTTAGACACATTAGAGACCGTTGACGCAACAGTTGCGTCATGTATGTAGTACATTATTAGAACCCTGATTATATTGGAACACCCATTATTGGAACGCTCTATTAAGTGAACGTTCTTTCATCAAAACATTTTGTTATCCGAACAATATCCTTGAGCTATATTACTGATATTTGAATGTATGTACACAATATTTTGTACAATTATTATATGTACATTAAAGTAATCAATACAGTGTGCTGAAAATACTAAACTGTAACATCTCATAACTTCGGCGACCAGAATTTTGTATGTCGCCTATTTTGGTAAATTATTATCAGATTACGGAAAAAAGAATTTGCGACAGAACGAAGTTTAACCGTAACAAATACTCAGACGATGTTCTCTATCCTTTTATTCTCTTATGCCTGACTAGTTCTGTTGTAGACCCTGAAGACTCAACGAAATAATAGCGAGGAAGGCGTGCCTTAGCTTAATCTCATTCCAGAAAACGACTGAATATTAGCAAACATTAACTGACATCCTGTATTAAATTAGACGACATCACGCGTGTCTCTTCGAAATCCTCCGCGGTCTACGTGAATCGCGATTATCCGGAAGATTGTTCCGTTCGTTAATTTTCTCATTTAACATGCTCCACGTGTCCAAGCCCTTCCTCGTGAACGTTTCCCTGATATACTACATGCGGTTTCTATTTTTTTTCCCAAATATGCATCCCTTAATGATAAAAGATTCAGGCTTACAAGCATTATCATAAAAAAGCTATATTATGAATACAAACTAAAAAAATGATGGCATCACGAAACTTATATGGAGAGTTTGGAAAATGTCTATCCAGCAATAAATTATCATAAGAATTTGATTTCTTTTTTCAATTAAAGCCTGAGATCTCTACTTTAAAACATTATCCAGATGAAGGCTTGATTTTCCGTCTTTAATTTAAGAGAGAAATCTTAGGATCTTTCCTTTCGATGTTACAATGGTTTAAAGAAATAATGAAACAAAAGTTTTATCCAGAGATCTTTCCAAGTCGAGATCAAGAAATTCAATGCCAAGAATTTATGTATTGTATACAATTACGTTTATTCAATAGATTTGTTTTATTTCGTGTGAGATATTTTCTTTTAAACTAGTCACTATTTTTCTTACAATTAGTATTGATTGCGACGTAGCGTCGACACGTGTAACGACAGCGATTCTCTTAAAGGTATAAACAATTTGCGAAGCCACATTGAGGTCGTTGTACGGTACGCTGTAATTAACTCCAACAGTTAAATTGTCAATTATCCGTTGTGAAATTGAGTTCAATGATCCGTTCTAATCCCATTGCGATCCGTGATAATGCGCGTCGCAGGTGCAGCCGTTAGCGTAGTAACGGTGACACTCATAAGAAGACCTTTTATGTACAAAACGTACGATCTTTCACGGTAACACGAACTTGTGGATACAAAAGTTACAAGAAAATTAATTCTGTAAAAGAACTTATGCAAATTAAAAATAGATTTAAGAAGTCTGATTTAATACGTATAGACTTGTAGTCGTATTCATATTCATTTCAAAACGGAATAACTTTAATATTGGATCAAACAATTTAATTTTCTCTGAGATACTTAAAGAATTAGTTTACTAGATAACGTATAAAAAATAAGTTTTTAAAATTGCTGTTGATGAAAATCGCGAAGAAAAAAGTAACAGATACGATTTTTAACTTTCTTAAAGAATACGACTCGGAGTTACTGTAATTCATCGTTTAATTTTCAATAATGGAAATTTCAGCTTTTTCTTATTTACTGCATGCAGGTATAGAATTGTAATTTTTGGATGACGATATAATTTCATCTTGTAAAGGATTCATACAATTTCTATCGAATTTGCGTCATGATCAGTCAACAATTAGACATTCTTCCAATCTGTTTTATAGCCATATAACTGTACGCTAAGATCTGCTGTCTTTCCAGTCTATTTTATAGCCATATAACTGTATGCTACGATCTGCTGTCCTTCCAGTCTGTTACATAGCCACATAATTGTATGGCACAATCGATATGATTCACTAGTGATACAAAAACAAGTACAAAGTGTAAAAGAATAAATTAAGAAATTATCATTTCAAACGATAACAATATTTATAAACTGTCGTCTGTGTAAACATTGACTAATAGAGTGTATCCACTAATAAGACACGTATCTAATTGATAGCGAAGGTTAATAGCCTACAGAATGTAAAACAAAAAGATAAAAGAACAAAAATCTTGATAATGTTGTTACAATGACGAGTCACTAACAAAATGAGAATGAATCATCACTGGGACGAGATATTTTAATAATACAGTACTATTTCGAAATAAGGCTTAACTTTTTGACGTGAAATAAGGTAATCGCCATCCCCTTTTCTATATTTGAAATTACTCGTAGAGTGAGAGATCCGAGAATCGAGTATAAAATGATAGAAAAAAGAGAGATAGAAATTGGGGCATTTACTGTATATCTGATTCGTAATAAGAATCTTGCCGGTCACGAGTGATTACCTTATTAATTGAATGTTACAAGTAGCGTTATAGAAACAGTGAAACGATTGATTACGAGCTTACAACATATACTACTGGAAGCAACTTCAAAAGTGCAGACATACACGTAAAAAGACAGAGAGATAGTTAGCGTGTAGTCTACATACTGTTTTTTTCATATCATGGAATAAGTCATTACTTTTCTCCATGTAATTTCTTCAAAATTTAATATTGTTTACTGAGAAGTTGACGAGCAGGGGGTGTTGTAGCTAATACCGTGATGTGAGATAGAAATGGCATATTGCTAAACATTTCTATCCAGTCTATACCTTTAACGTTTGCGAAGAACCCTCCAGTAGCATATGCTCTAATTGTAAGATTATGAAATCGCTTGGTTAACACTTTGAAGGAAACTATCGGTCAAATATCTTGAAATTTAATAAAACGGTACGATTAAGCTGGAAACGGAAATGAAAAGGTCGACTGTATTGAGAGAATGTGCAATCTGATTGGTCAGCATTCGTGTTTTTGCAATACCTATAAACAGATCCAAAGGCTATCGCATCGCCTCCTCGTGTTTTCACGATTTTAATCATGTTTTGTGCAATACGCCTGATATGTTCAATAGGAAAATGTTGCTCGCTGTTTGCTGATAAATCGTATCGTTCAGTAATTGAAAAAGCCTACCGTTTGCACGGCAAACGCAGTTTGCAGTTTCGAGTGTTCTTTGCATCCATTACATAATTACATAGTTAGTAGAAGGGTGCGGGAACTCGAGAATATGGTAAAACCAATGATCGGGGTCGGTTCCCAATATTGGATTCTACAGACATTTCTAATAAAGAAATCATCTACAGAAACATGTAATAGTACTTTTTTATTTTTCCCGAAAATCATGCAATTTTACAGATACCGGAATTTTCCGGAAACGATACGTGATAGAGCAATTCTGCTTCCGGATTTGTTTTTAGGATGAGAAACTCTATAAGAATCGCGTAGAGGATACTAGGAAAAATAAGAAATGCTTTTTTTCGTTGGACCGTGTAATTAACAATCACGTTTGATAGCGCGATGGATCCTCGAGGGGTTCGTTGGCGATCGCGGATCAAATCGAACTCGAACGGTGCGAAGAGGAAACGAGGTCAAGCTGCTCTCGAAAGCTCTAATCGGCGTGTCAAGCGTGTGGCACTGAAAGTAAAGCGGTTTGTAATTATCGTCAGTCTCGCAAGGACATAATAATCAGTCTCATTGCCGACAAAATTGTTCGCAGCGGGGCAAAAGGAGGTGGCGGAGCAGAGCAGCCGTGCCATCGCTGAAAAGCGGTGTCATCACACTCGTTAAGACCGGTTCGCGTTATACGTCTACCGTCGCTAATTGTCGCGATTTCATCGAACGTAATTGTTAATAAATGATGCGAATTTCGTAATAATCCCGCCGTGAATAAGCCTCTTTATCGTCACCATTCGCATACTCTGGTACGTACAGCGTTTAACAATAAGAATAAGGAACTAGAAATTCCTACAGTTGAGAATTAAAAAAACAATTAAAATTTCGTTGTTGAAAAAACGACGAAATTTGTAGATGAAATTTGCAATTAACTTTAGATTGATTCAAAATATTTCTTGTATGTATAATTCTAAGATCTACATCTGGATCTCAATCTATAATCTACCAGACGTAACGCATTCATCGCGTCTTCATTAGCATTTACTGAATTGGTAATGAAACATAAATTATACTTTTTACCTTCACTGTCGTCCCCTATTATTTCTAAATAGAGGTATGTTCTTTTGTTACTTTTACTTTATTCTCCAAATTAGAATTGTCACACATTGAATATTAAGGTCTCATAACTTCCGCACTACTGCCTATGTTATTAAAAAATAATGTTTACTATATCTGTTACATACTACTCTTATAACAGAAGGATTGATGTATGATAATACTGATTCTGATAACGCGAGTTTAATTGGAATTATGTTAATTTTATGACTGATAGATTATGTATTACTTTGCATATCGTATAACCAGCATTTTGAAGAGAGAAATATTACATGAGAGAAATTTAAACAATGTCAATAACAGTTTCTGAATCATTAAAACTGTTTATAAAGATGATGGTACGAAATATTTTTGAAGTCTATGTATATACTACTTACATCACTAACGAGCGTGGAATGTTCGTAAAATTAAGATCCAATGATCCGTGCTTCAGCATATGAAGATCAAGCCAACTATATTAGATGTTTGGTCCTCCGCGAGTCAAGGCGTTAATTGTACTTAACAAAGACGTGAAGAGCATGGACAGATATATTAATTTCCAAATCAATTTTCAAAGTAAACATAATTTCTCTTTATTTTTCCGTTTAATTCCTCCCTGTCCTCTTTCCTATTTACTCATGAAGAGGATTAAAGCGTAATCAATTAAAAAGTGTATATATTTAAGCATTTATTGCACAAAAGCTACTAAATGCTTTTCATTTATAGCACGAAACGATATTAAACAAGGTTTTTACACGACTTTTGAAAAATACTTTTTATCAATCGAATGTAATTATTACTTTCACATATCACGACCTCGATATTTAAACTAATTTTTAGTTCTTGCACTTCATACTTCGTTCTATCGTAGTATTATTATTAAACGACCTCAATTTTTTCCTTCTTCGATAAAGCAAGGACAGTTTAAAGTTTTTTTATTCAAATCTTGTGGTAACGGGTATTAAAAGACGATAACACACGATAACTCATAACACATTTATGCACGTCTATTTAAAGGAGGTAATTCTACGCGTTACACGTTGTTTTTGTTCCGGCTCTTGTGTCACGGTCCTCGGTATCGGCTCGATGCACGTGGGAAATCAACATTTAAGTAATAGTTTATTCCGCGTGAGACGGCGCGTGGAAATGAAATGTGAGTTGAGCCGGGGCGCCGAAGCGCTAAAAGCTACCTGCCACCTCCCACTAAATAAGAATATATCACGGTAAACGTTCCTCGCGAACGCTATTCCACGCGTTTCCTAGTCAAGCGAGATGCTGACGACCATGAAGGGGGATGCCCTCGTTCCTTCGCTTCGACTCGCTTCAAAGGATACGCGCGTGGTATCTTTTAACGCATGAAGTTCAACGCCGTTCAACATCGATTTGCTCATACGCACAAATTATAGTTACGTAAATACTGTCACTTAATTACATAGCAGTAGCACAATTAATAGATTGTACGTGTCACGCGTATCAGTAACAGCGAAAGTCCATTACAATTAATAGTGTTTGTTGACTGTTAGATAAAAATGCAATGTTTCAATTGTAGATTGTATGCAGTCATAAAAAAGTAGAATATACTGATCAACTGGTGTAAAACAATTCAAAACATTAAGAGCTGAATAGATATTCCAATGTTTAAATAATCAAACAAATGTTTATGTAAATCAGATTTTGTAAACTGATACCATAAATGTTTTATTTTGCATACAAATCAGTAGTTTAATAATGATGTGTGAAGGAGAGGTCATTATAGTACAGGAAAAGAAGAATAGGTACACCAACGATGAAATGCTTGTCAGTGGTGTTAAACAGAAATTATGTATTAAACACGCAATAATACAACTATGAACGTACGGTTGTCTAGTTTCGTATTCATTAAGCGTTTTCAGTTTCATCACGTTCTAATTTATTAATTTATGATTAGCGTAAGTCGAGGGTAATTTTTTCGACGTGTCACGACAAGCTCTTATAAATCAGATTTACCAATGCTAAGTATCAGATTAAGTGATACATATGAAAGCTCGTTTAGTTTTAGATCTGATAAACGGACACGCAGTCCTTATATAAAACGTCTGATAGATATGAAATACTGCATGTTTCATTTAAATGATTTCACGCATATTCGCATATTTCCCCTGCCGATCTAAACTCAAAGAATTTGTACTTGTATAATTAAAACTTCCTTGCTTACGCTTGCGTAAATTATTTCCATTCCGAAATAATTTATTCCTTTAAGAAATCAACATCGAACTATTCTAATGTTGGGCGTGTAAATCGCATAGTATGTAAATTCAGTTCTTTGAAGTTTACCCATTCTAATCACTACTTTAAATTGCGGTCTTCATAAAAACCTATCAATTGATTGGAGCTGATCTCCGAAAACAAGAACCTGTTATTTTAATCAATGAACTAGAGCGCAGGAAACGGTACACAAAGGAAATGTACCTCAGATGTGATAAAACAAATGTTACTTCGTTAATCGAGTAGACAGTATGGACGTACGAGAAGACTGATATCAGTTTAACAAGCTGAACGAACTTGATGAAGTTTCTTATTGAGCCAGCCATGCTTTCAGTTTCTGCGCAAGATCAATTTTTGTCACATTCCCACCAAACAAACGTAACGCGTCATAACAGTAAGAAATCACCGGCAAACAAATCATTTATTGACTCATTAAATTGGAAAGATTATGAAGCAATTAGGCCTGACGATAGCTTAAAACCGATTTCTCACGTTAAGATAACATGGAAAAATGCCGACCTCGTCGCCACTAGGGCAAGGCTCATTCCATTTATGCTCGAAGGATTATTGCAGTTTCTTACATCTTCCACATGTAGTTCTCACTCGTATCCCACTGAATTTATTAATGACATATTTCATGGAATGAAATTATATCAGACGTTCTTATCACAGCTAATTCATTTGCAACTATTAATGTAATTTCATAATACATTTCGTAAACATATTAACATACAGTCAATTACAAAAATATTGAGACACTTTTCAAAGCGAAACCATTTAAACTTCTTTGTTTATAGAAGGTTCGGTTTGTTAGATAATTCGCAGACAAATTTTTGTTAAATTCCTATCGTATACCGAAATTAATGAAGGGAAAAAAAGATCACGATTTTTATCTTCTTTATCCGAGTGTCTAATAAAAATTTGATTTTTATAGGTTCAAGTATACACGTACAACAGTTTAAACGAAACAGAGGATCCGTAATATACAATACACTTTGAAAGTTGCAATACTCTTAGAAGCAAGATATCTTTAATCAGCCACTGTATCTCACAGTCTCCATAACAAATATCTTTTTCTCGATTACACAGTGTTTTAATTCAACAACAGCCATCAATAATCAATCGAACAGATTATAAGCAGACTCTTTACAACCCCGCCTGACACGTGTTCAACGTCAAGACCTTTTAAAAGTGGTTTTAACTGGTTACAAACATACGTCTCGAGAATAATAGCATGCTCTAGTTCCTGATGTCCGTGGATCGCGATTCTGGATCTTTTAATTGCGCGAGTTTACGCAGACCGTTTACACGAAACCGTTTCGTCATCTCAATGACTATACATTAATTATTCTGGTTTAACTGCCCAAATTTTGGCCAAACAACAGAAATTTAAGACAATTGTAGTACACAATGTGTAATTTACTAGTAATCTCGAAATAAATATGCATTTTACTATTGGGAAAGATGGAAGTAACATGACCTATGAACGACATCATACCGAATGAATATTATTGTAAGTTATTTGTAGTCATATGTATATTCCATGATCATAGTCAGGTAATAAAAAGACCAAATGTGTGGAGCACTATAAGATCTTTAATTTGTGAAGATTCAATTACATTGGTAGTTACAGGAGCACAGATCACGAACGATTCTGCTTTCTGCTTCTACTGAACATTCACAAGCCGTGTCCTCTCATCCTCGAGTCATAAAATAACACAACACAAATCGAAGAACCTAATTGTGCCACTTGTACGAAGAAGAGGGAATACAAAAATATTAACAACGTAAATAGGTTTTAACTGCTCTCGGCCAGAGCTATACTCTCGATATTAAACCATAATCAATCTCAATAAGAACAAAATTTAATACTTAGATAAGGTTCGTCGAAATACAAAATTACATGAGTATTAACACAGAGAAAAGAGGTGGGAATTACAGTAATAAAAATATGTTAGACTTACGGTGTGCGGTTTGCCAAGTCTCGGAGAAGTTGCCCGAATTGGGGAACAACCGAGAAGCAATGGTTGAGCGCAAACCTTATATAGGGGAGACCACGAGGCACCAATGTCCCCACTCCTGCTTTCATGGAACCTTACACAGTCATATCTGCATTCAGCAGGAGCAGCCGAGAAGTTGATTGGAAAAAGTGTAAACGAAATTACGAAAACTATGATTCGTTCGTGAACATATTCAGAACAATTGTTTGAAGGCGCCGTTTTTCTTCAGTCCTGAAATCCCGTTTCGCAGTGAATGTCCTCCTGAGAGAAACTTGGAAGCGCATGGAGTCGCACAAATCCGCGGTCGCTCATGATGTTACGTAAGATCGTGCAAGCGATTCACGCTTTAACGTTGCGATATCTATATCAGGAGTCGGTCGTTGGACGCCGACGGGAAAACATTTTATAACTGGTTAGAAGTTGTCAAAATTGTTTAACTCTCTTTTCATTAAATATCGACAAATAATCAAGTTCGTTTACGAGAATTTCCGTTCACCAAACGCCTTGAGTGACCTGACTGATCGACTCCTGGTTTCGATGAGAGTCAATCGAGACCTTCGTTTTGTTTTAACTAAACGTTTGTTTGTTTGTTTTCCGTTATCAGCAATGGTTGGTCGAAGGATACGTTGATTTCGATTGACAATAAGTGAAACTGAATATCGACTGTAACTGTAAAATCGGGCAATTGTTACATAAGAAAATCGTATTTTTTTCATTGCTCAGCAAAATAAGGTGCTGCTTTAGGGAGTGGTGTCCAAATTTTCGATACTTGAACGTTTTCATTGTCATACGCGAAACTTAAAACGGAACAACTTTAGATTGATTCAGTTAATTCAGGCAAAAAGCCAACGGTTTCGAATTCGCTCGCAACGTCTGCACAGCGCTCAGTCAGTGTTGTACAAACCATAAATCTAGAGAAACTAGAGTGATTTATTGTACTTCCCTGAACTTGCTTTTTTGCGTAAATTTCGCTGATATTAATTGTTCCACGTGAACTTAAATTCATGCTACAGAAAAATATATTTTCATTATTATTATTATCGAATTTTTCAAGGTCATATCAACTATACGAATTACTAACAAAAATAATGATTGTTCGTTACATAGATTGATATTATAAATTGATCCTTATCGATTTTTTAATAAAGTTAAATGAAAAAATTGAATGGAGTTAACAATGATAAATGGATTTATAATGACTGATAAATTCCGATGTGTTTTAAGAATTTTAACATATTAGCGCATTAAGTCCTGGATTCAACAAGTGTATCCCCGAAGTAACTTTTTAGTACAAATTATTTTTTATCTAGTAAATATTAGTGTATCAGTTAACGAAGCTTTTAGAATGCTAATTTTAGCGAACAAACAAGCGATAAATTTTGACGTATGCACTTTCAGTAATGACCCCTGGAATCCACTGTTGTATTTTATTCTGCTTTTGTTTTTTGATCTTACGTAATATTACTTAACAGTTATCGGTAAACGAAAGTCTTTCCTGCTACCATTACTCCAAGACTCATCGTGTTAAATACAAAAACTTTCAATATGGGACATTCTTGTACATTTTATTTGGAAAGCTTATTTAAAAATAAAAATCGTATGGATAACTTTAGAGACTTTCCTTACTTAGAATTGGATTCTAAAATTGTGTAATAGTGAGAATGTCTAAATTCTGACGCTAATGGATGTGTTTCCTCTTCGCGAATAGTTGTGTGTTCGGTAGCTCATAAAGTCAATTATCGGTGATAACGGACTCGAAATTGAACGTATCGTCAGTAATGTAACAGACAAACTCATGTAGATTTACCTATCTTTAGCAAGAGGTACACGTCAACCGTTGTTGGAAGAACGATGATAATGAGAAGAATGTTTGCAGTAAATCTTACGGCGGCTTAACGGGCG